CCGAATTGTGCACTTCGAAAGGGTGAATTTCAAGTTATGTGAATTATATGTCAGTTAAAAAAAAAATGACACCCAAAGTGAGGAGCTSTAGACATCAGCCACCCTGGGGACCTGTTCTCTGCCCTGAGAACCGTKCGGGGGTGTGTGCTCCGCCGAGGGGCTCAGACCTCACACACCCATCAGGCTGCACCAGGAGCTCCAGGAGCCAGGGACCATCAGCCTGCTCATCACTCTACCCCTCGTGYCCAGCACAACACCTGGACACATGGCAGGAGCTCCATGAGGTTCTCACCTCAGCTTTGCTTTAGCTYCAGGCAACCCCTGTCCTCAGATCTCCAGTGGCCCTGCTTTGTTCACTGCCCTGAGGCCACKCTGGCCTCCTGGCCACTTCTCAGATCCACCCGGCACTAACTTTGCGACTGTGATTCCCTGGGCTTTGAGCAGTTTCCCTCAGGTGATTCCAGGACTGGCCCCTATTTCATTCAAGTCTCCACGCCAATGACTCCTCTTCAGAAGAGACTACCCCACTGAAATGAGCACTCCTCACCCAAGTCCCGACCCCTTCTCCACACCTCTTATCATCACTTAACATCAGGGCAACAGGAATGAGCTGATGAGTCTGTCCCTTCTCCATGAGCACCGGGTCTTTACCTAATGTCCCCAGCACCTGGACTGGAACATRGATCACAATGAGTGATCTTACTAAATACATTCCTTTATTCAATGAGCCTCAAAGGAATATGTGCYAAAACCTATAATAGAATCTATAAATAAAATGATTTCTGCCCTTTAGAAACTCAGRGTCTAGTGAATGATTTACACGAGATGAGAGCGCACATCTCAACACAATCTTGGTATTTTCCCTTAGGGTCGTTAACTTTGACCAGTCATACCTGTCCCTAGCAGAGGTTTGCAGGGTTGTTTTGACCTGGGAAACACAACATACTCCTCCTTGTTTTCCCTGAGCTTAGCTGTCCTCAGAATTAAACTTTCCACAAGATCAACTTCAGAGACTGCACGTATTTTGTTTGGCTCATATAATGTGGTTTTAAAAAAAAAAAAGTCTGAGCTCAGACTTAACAATGGGAAGTATTCATAAAATAAAAATGAAAAATAAATAAATTGCACTTCTGTCCCTCTTGGAACCAGAGGACTGGACAAGCTGGGCCACATTCCCAKGGGACCAGGAGCTGCAGCTCAGAGGCACTGCCTCTTTTGGAAGACTCCTGCTTCCTCTGCTCACCACAGGCCCAGCTCCCCAGTYCCCACTCGCCTGGGAGTCTTGCCTGGCCTGGTAGGGAATGGACTTGAGATTCTGAGATAAGAACAGGAGTCTCAAACAGCCTTGGAGCTTGCTTTAGGAGCCCTGGCATCTTTCCAGGTGGCAAATGCCACCTCAGGTAGCATAAATGTACCTTTTTTCCATTCTCCACCATGAGAAGATCTACAGACTCCTTTTCCTGCTCCCTATTCCTTCCTTGAAGATGGTCCTCTCCCTGCCAGCCTCACCTGCCCACTCCAGCATGTCCTCAATATTCTCTGCTGCCCCAGGCACAAGGCGGCTCTGATCCGTGTCTTCCAGCCTCAGGATGAAGCTCCCCTGGTGCTTCTTGGCAAAGATGTAGTTGTACAGGGCAGTGCGGAGGCCACCTAGGTGCAAGAAGCCTAGTGGAAAAGAACAATTCAGACAAGTCAGGGAAAACGAAATCACAAGTCTCAGCTGAGGGGCGAACAAGTTCTTCTTGTGACCGAATGTCTCAATGAATTAAAGACCAAATATGGCTCTGCCTGTCCCATCTCCCTGACCAACAACCAGACAGTCAGACTGTCACAAAAGAGGACTGGGTGGTGGACTCATTTAAGTTCTCATCTTGGAAGTGGAAGATCATCCATGTTCTGGAGCCTGTCGTTTTGTAAAAATGCTCCAATTGTCCCCAAATGTATCCACCACTCTACTTTGATATCTGCCTCAAGGACACATTTCCCTCAAGGAAAGGTAGAAAATTACCCATGGAAGCCGTATCATGCAGGCATTTAACTTATGCCTTGGTCTCCTTTGGGAGACCAAGTTAATTACAAGTGAATAACAAATTTAAAATTCTATAGCTGGTGCAGTGATGTATATCTGTAATCTCAGTGGCTTGAGAGGCTGAGACATGAGAATCTCAAGTTCAAGGTCAGCCTTGGCGATAAACTGCTTCTGGGTTAAATTCTCAGTTACTCCCCCTCCAGAAAATACTTTAAAATCCTATTTTGCATATATACTCTATGCACACCTTATAATTTAATTTTGCATAYTTGAGCACTAGCTTTAAATACTAACCAAAACAAAATTTGACTCCACAATATTTTCCTGCACCAGAGYTTAAACTTTTTTTWAAAAAATATATATATTTTTTGTAGTTGTAGATGGATACAATACCTTTATATTTATYTTTATGTGGTGCTGAGGATCAAACAAGGGCCTCACATGTGCTAGGCAAGCGCTCTACCACTGAGCGCCAACCCCAGCCCCCAGAGTTTACACACTTACTTTTTCATCATTCTTCACTGAGAACTTAAATTTAAGTTTTCCTATGGCTGTCATCTCCCCTCCCCTTACTTTCTTTGGTCTAGTCCAGAGACCTGAGTCTCCACAGTAAGCTCATCTACATTTCCAGGTATCTGAGGAAGCACAGTTTTCCTCCTGTTTCAACATGGATTCTGTGTGTGACCTTTGCCACCACAAAACCAGTGGTGTTCAATGGCACTGGGTACTAGGAACATGAAGGACACAGTCCTCATAGTTAAAAACAAGGYCTCTGACATCACATTTACCTGGATTGAAATTCGGCATCTATCACTTACCAGTTGCTACCCTTTGGGCACTCTACTTAAATTTTTTGAGCTTTAATTTCCTTATCTGCTAGAGGGATTAAAAACAAAAAATAGGCCAGCCGTGGTGGCACACATTTGTAATCCCAGTCTCTCTGGAGGTTGAAGGAGGAGGATTGAAAATTAGAGGCCAGCCTTGGCAATTAGCAAGACTAAATAAAYAAACAGATAAAGAGCTGGTGGGGGGATGGGGTTGTAGCTTGGTGGTAGAATATCCCTGTGGTAGTGGTACCTACAGTATCAAAAAAAAAACAAACAAACCACTTTATTACAAGGCTGTTGTGATATCTAAATGCTTGCTGCTGAAATATTCCTTCAATTAATTTTTAGCTAGCACAGTAATCTATGCTGCTTGATAATTCTTTTATCTGTTTGTAGTCAACAGCTTTCCTATACAAATGAGCTCTTCCTACAAATCTTCAGGGAAATGGGAATTATAATGATCATAACAGAGGGTACTGTTCATCAAATGTCTTTTATAAGATTAGACCTTACTAAGTGGCTCAGCTACATTGGCTCAAAACCAAGGCAAGTACTATTATTAGTTCTACTTGACAGACAGTAAAACTGAGGCTCTGCGATGTTAAGTAATTTGCCTAAGTTACACATCTAGGAATTGGCAGAGAGAGAAATTTGGATCTAGACAATCCTAGGACTTGGCACTCTACCGTTAAGTACTCCTAAAAGCAAGGCGCACAGTCTAGTGCTGATAYGCTAACTGTTGCCAGCTCACAACAGACTAGCATAGAAAGAGTAAAGGTTTCGAAACATGTAGCAACTATTTTTTTGTATAGCAATTCAATAGAGTAAATTTTGTCTGTTGCACTGAAAAAAATAAATGGGCTTCTATGTCCTATGTTTTCAGATCTTCCGTTTTCCTAGTACTTCGTTTATATTGATTTTTACAAYATAATTGTGAAGTTATATTGTAAAAACACAACTGAAAATTAAAAACCACTGCTTCCACCATGGATGATTTGAGAAACACTGCTTTCTATATAGGATACAGTGTGCATAGAAAGCTGTCATGTGCACTTGGAACTTGGCCACAAAGATGCTTATCTGCTAGCTGCGGGGTATGGAATGAAAGGCTTGCCAAGCGCAAAGCAAAGCAAAGCGGGCAGAAGGTAGCCTTGGTGAGAAAGAATGTTGGGAGCTGGTGTGGTAGTGGGTTGACAGGAGGTTGGAGACAAGTGGGTCTCCAGCAGGTTACACAATGGATCTCTGCTTCGCTGGCTTGCAAAGCTCTCAACGCTCCTAACCGCGGGGCTTTTGCACCTCCCACTTCCTCTGCCCAGGTTTTCCCAGGAGCTTCACATAGGAAGACCCCTTGGTTCTCAGCTCACACGTTCTCTCCTGAGCAAGGCCTTCTTGAGCATCTCACCCTAACCTCAGCTTCCTACTCTGCTCTGTTTTCCGCATGGCCCCTGAGACTCTAGAGTCACTTTTTATAAGTGGCCACTACAACACAGACTTCATTTTCAGTGACCACCATCCCGACGTCCAGGACGTGGCACGGTGTATACTCAACACGCGTTTCTTGAATGCATGAAAAAAGTGATCTACAGAGACGTTGCAGAGATGTTCCCGGAAACGCGAAACCTTTCCGCTCCCGGACCTCAATTTCTGCCTCTGTAAAAYGGGGTCGCGCTGCCCTCCCCCGTCTGACGCCACCGGAAGGGATTTGTTCAGGAACCTTCGGGGGGCGGGGACGGGAAGGTGGGCCGCGGCCTGCAGCGTCACGTCCGCCAAGGTTACCTGTGGGGCTGGGAGCGAACCGCACTCGAACCGCAGTCCCGGGATCGATGCCCAGGCTGGATTCATGCCGTCCCACCGAGCGGCCCAAGGCCGCCGGGGGTGTCCGGAGCCGAAGCAGCCTCTTCAGGAGCGTCGCCATGTGGGCTAGACTCGCACACGTGGGCTTCTTAGTGCGTCACTTCCGGGGACTCCTCCCAGCCAATCTCCCTCTGCCACAGAGAGCGCCGCCCCGCCCCTTAAAGGCGCAGGCCCCTACTTTGAAAACACGCCCCCTAGACGGCAGCTGCCAAACTCGACCACGAGGGGGCGGAACCCAGCGAGCGGGCGATTTCCCGGACCCGCCCCCGCCGAAGGCTCGGGAAAGCTAAAGCGTGGCAGGGGCTGGACCAGGGAAGCGGAGGAGGCGGGTCTCCATAGAAACCTCCACCTGTTTCCGGCCAGGCCGAGMGAGATTAGGGGCTGCTGCGGGGGCCAATCTCAGCCAGCTCGCTTCTTCCCAGCGGCCTCTGCGGGAGCGGTGGGTGTTGTACACAATCATCATGGCGGCGGCCGGAGCCCCGGATGGTGAGTGCGGAGGGGGTGGCCGGCGCGGGGCTGGGACCCAGGCTGCGGGCGCTCGCGGGCGGGGCGGGGATGCGGCCTGGACCCGGAGGGAGGAGCGTGTTTCGGGAGCGGTGAAGCGGCGGCGCCCGGCCAGAGTCGGGTTCCAGGCCCAGTCGGCGGCGAGCGCCCACCCCCTAACCCCCTTGCAGGCATGGAGGAGCCTGGCATGGACACGGAGGCCGAGACCGTGGCCACCGAGGCGCCCGCGCKGCCCCTCAACTGCATGGAGGCCGAGGCCGCGGCGGGGGCGGCGGCGGCCGAGGATTCCTGCGACGCGCGAGGCAGTCTGCAGCCGGCCCCGGCCCAGCCCCCTGGGGACCCCGTGGCGCAGGCCTCGGTCAGCAACGGCGAGGACGCGGGTGGCGGCGCGGGCAGGGAGCTGGTGGACCTGAAGATCATCTGGAACAAGACCAAGCACGACSTGAGGGTGCCTCTGGACAGCACGGGCTCCGAGCTGAAGCAGAAGATCCACTCGATCACAGGTAATCWCGGCGCTGACAGCCCGCTCCCTCCACCCCACCCCCTTTAGCGTCTAGTGCTTACGCTGCACTAGACATTGTGCTCGCTGCCCTCTGKGCATCGGCCCCCTCGGTCCTCCCAAGTCAGTGCTTGCATTCCTCCTCATCTGGTTAATAATGGGCAGAGGAGACCCTCCATCTCTGAGCTAGCGAGTGGCCCAGCCGAGATTCCAACCCAGCTCCGACTCTTTTAAGTCTGTAACGTCGCTAGTAAAAATCACCTGAGGCACTCGTTAACTTTACAGCACCTCGGCCCTTCCCCGGGAGATTCTGATTCAGTGGGTTTGGGATTCRGCCAGGAGCTTATTTTTTTAGCATATAATCTTAGATATCCAACTTTCACAAGGAAARGTTAGGAAATAACTGCTGTTGGCTGTCTTGCTGACCCTTCACAGGTACTCATATGTATTCATTTTCTCTCATTTACACTTATTTTTTTTTTTCATGTATAGTTCTTAACCATTTGAAATGATGCTCTTTTTTCTCTCTGTGGCCTATAAGCTGGGTAAAAGCAGTAGCTTTGTCCTTATTGACTTCTATATTGCTGACACCTGTGAACCCTCCCTGAATATTTGAGTGATTGGATGATGCACAGTTTGGAAACGGCAGTAGCTAAAAAAAWTTTTTTTAAATGTTTTTTAGTTGCAGATGGACACAGTACCTTTTATTTTATTTATTTATATGGGGCTGAGGATTGAACCCAGTGCCTCACACATGCTAGGCAAGTGCTCTACCACTGAGCCACAACCCCAGCCTGTGATAGCTAAAATTCATTGAGCAATTCATTGAGCAAAAACAGGCACTATGCTGAATGTTCTACATTTGTCCTGTCTCTTAATCCTTATAACAAATCTATGCAGAAAGGTCTACTTTCATCTCTGTTAGAAAGTTCTGGAATTTGAGGCTCAGATGTGAATCACCCAGGTTCACAAAACAGATGATGATGGAGCCCCTGTTCACTTCCTGCTCCATCATCAAAGTACTGTATGGTCCGTGCATTTTTTTTTTCCTTTCATTCTTTGCCCTCTACCTTTTCCCAAGGTCTCCCGCCTGCCATGCAGAAGGTCATGTATAAGGGACTTGTCCCTGAAGATAAGACGTTGAGAGAAATAAAAGTGACCAGTGGAGCCAAGATCATGGTGGTTGGCTCTACGATAAATGATGTCTTAGCAGTAAACACACCCAAAGATGCCGCACAGCAGGACGCCAAGGCCGAAGAGAACAAGAAGGAGCCTCTCTGTAGGCAGAAAGTGAGTCCATCTTGTGCTTGTTGGTCCTGAGAAATGAGAGGCTTTGTCTTCTGCAGCCTTGGTTGATGATGTTCTCCCTAGAATAAGCTCCTTTTTGGACAGGGCCCCTGATGGAAATTTATGGCAGCAGTTGGGTGCAGCAGAGTGGAGGTGACAGCTACCTGAGATTTGCAACTTTGTCTCGTCTGGCGGGTCAGTGTGTCTCAAGTCTACCTACTTTAGGATAAGGCCTTTGAACAGGGAGGCTTCAGACCAGATATGAAAAGAAATTAGATGTGGGCTTCTCTATCTGGCTGAGTGCAAAAAAAAAAAAAAAATGTCAATACTAGTATTAAGCCTCCATTTTGAAAAGTGCTTACATTTGAGTTTTTGTTTGTGGCTTTTCTCAAATCAACAAGTGTAATTCTGAAGAGGCATGGAAATCAACCAATTTCAGAGTTCCTCTGAGACTGACCATTTCAGGAACTCGAATGAAGCTGAATAGGAAGATAATGACACTTTTTTATTTATTTTTTTGTCCTCCTGAACCATGAAATGAGGACCTGACTTTTCTCCGTTGCTCGTTTGGATAGAAGAGATCCAACTTTGTTTTGTAATCATTGTAGCCATTAAAATTCCTTTTATTTTTACTTATTTTATTTTATTTTTTTGGTTGCTGTAGTGGGGTTGGCAAGTGCTCTATTACTGAGCTACATCATCAGCCCTTCTGAAAAATTTTGTTTTGAAATGGGATCTAGCTAAGTTGCCCAGGCTGGYCTCAAATTTGCAGTTCTCCTTCTTCAGCCTCCTGAGTGGCTAGGATTACAGGCATGTRCCACTATGCCAGCTTCAAATTCTTTTTTTGTTTTTAGGAAAAGTGAGATTATTTTACTGTAAAGGTAACAGTTTAGGAAAATCATTGTTCGTGATCTTATTACCCAGTGAATCCCACTTGTTGCTGAATAGCTTCCTTGTACAGAAAACAGGTGTTCTCATTTTAATCTGTGTCCTAAGCAGAGGAGAGCAACTTGGACTGATACCAGTTTTAGTGATAATAGGTACAAAGATATATGGCCAACATTAGGAAACCTAATTTTGTGTTAGAAATCTGTAATCCCTTTTGTGTGCTTTCAAGTTTTCAAAAGGGTTCTGAAAACCAGGAGTGCTTTTATAAATATGCAGCAAAACCTGATTAGAGTGTGAATATTCACATTTTGCTCTAGAAATATTAACATACTGGTGACAAGTTGCTCCCCCAGGCCCCATAGAGGATATTATATAATTTTGAAAGTATATTTTCTGAAACTGTTTTTTTTCTTTTTGCACATGGACACAATGTCTTTATTTTGTTTATTTTTATGTGGTGCTGAGGTTTGAACCCAGTGCTTCACACATGCTAGGCAAGYGCTCTGCCATGGAGCCATAACCCCAGCCCTGAAACTCTTAAAGTCTAAAATATCTGTGTATAGGAAGTTTTGTGTTGGTTTTGCTTTTTGGTGCTGGGGATTAAACCTGGGGCCCTGTACATATTCTACCACTGAGCTACTCTCCTACCCATCCTTAGGATTTTAGATAAGGGATCATAGACCTATATTACCATCCAAAAGGTRTTTATTTGAAGGTTTTTTCACACTCCACATAAGGGGTCATAATATCCTGTAATGTGTTCTCTTTTCCCACCTTCCCTGTCACATGTATGAACAGATCTGAGTGAGCATTCTCACTGGTCACACCCTTAGAGCATAACATGCCTTGTAAATACAGGTTTTAAGTGACTGGTGGTAGCTTAACAGGCTTAGAACTGTTCTCCACAGTGCAGGAAGGATTCTTCAAAAGGTGCTTGTAAGGCATGACTCGTAATTATGCTTCCCACCTGTGCCACTTTGTTTGAGTGACGCCAGTTATTATGAGATATGACATGGCCTAATGAGGGATCCAGTCCCTTCAGCTTTTTATGGACACGTTCAGGTATCTGGAGCTGATGTGCAGGGTGACTCTTTGCTGGCAGTGTGGCATTCATTCCTGCCACAGGTTCTGCATGCCAGTGAGTAAGTGAGCTGGCTCATGGTTCCTGGTGCTTACATTTGACCAAATTTTTACCCTCTGTCCATTCCTTGTCCCCTAGTGCCAGCTTTACCAAGCATTGCCCTAGAAAGCCACAGTTGGAGAAAAGATGAGACTTGAGACCTGTAGGGGCCATGGATTCGAACCCCTATGAGCTGCCTCACCTCCTCAGCGTTGGGTGGGAGTGAGGTTTGAGACTTCTTAGTGTCAAAGTAGTCAGTGTTTCTGCTTGGAAATGTAATTCCTCAAGTTTTCTTTGAGGCTGGGGTTAAGGATGGGGCAGTAGGGAAGACTTCTTCGATGGGCTGGGGGTCCCTTCTCAGCAGTTAGGTTGATTACCAGCATCTTGAAGTTCTCTTTGGGAGTTGAAATTGACAGATATTGCTGACATTTTCTACCTGCCAGAAGAGCAACACCCTTTGCAGCTCTTATCAAGGTGTTTAATCCTTTCATTGGTGACTTTTTGCAAAGAAAGGGAGTAGAACATTTGAATGAGCAATCTGGAAATCCTCTTTGCTCCAGAAGTTCGTTGGATATTATAGCTACATTGAGCTGATTAAATAATTAAATTAAGTATTCAGTTCTTCAGTCTTATTTCTGTTTAATTATTSCAGTACCAGGGATTGAACCCAGGGGCACTTTACTACTGAATTACACCCCTTTTTAAATTTTGAGACAGGATCTTGCTCGGTCGCCTAGGCTAGCTTTGAACTTGTAATCCTTCTGCTTCAGCCTTCCTGGTGGCTAGGAGCATACACTTGGCAGTTCTCAGTCTTACTACCCACATTTTAAGTGCTTAATAGCCTCATGTTGACTSATGGCCAACACAGGTGTGGACGATTCCCTCATCACAGCAACTCCTAAGGTCAGCACTGCTCCGCTGTGTCAAGGGATCATGGTCTGCAGACATTAAAGGCTTCTGCACAAAAATGTTAAGACTTTCTTCATCCCATTTTGAGACAGAGCAATGTGACTAAATTGTAAACAGCTGTGTCACATGACAGTCTCTTCTGGCTTGTGTTGTAGCAACACAGGAAAGTGCTGGATAAAGGGAAACCTGAAGACGTCATGCCGTCTGTCAAGGGGGCCCAGGTAAGCCCGACTTCTTTGTGACCATCTGGAAAGGAACCAGTCCCACCTTCAGAGAGTCTTGTAATTGTGTCCTCACGTCCTGTCCCTTCTTTTCTCTGTCCAATTGTCCCTGCCCCTCTCACCATGTCGTCGTGCCTCCAGGAGCGCCTGCCAACGGTACCCTTGTCCGGCATGTATAACAAGTCTGGAGGAAAAGTGAGACTCACCTTTAAGCTCGAACAAGACCAGCTGTGGATTGGCACTAAAGGTAAGTTGGTTCTCAGCCTCCTCCCAGCCCACGCCTGCCTCTGCCGCCCAGCAGCACTGGTTCTGAGGGCTGCCGCTCCTCGTTGGAACCTCTCGCCTCACTGCTTTGTGTGCTTCTGGCTTTTGAATTTGCTTTTAGATGCTCACGTCTTGTTTGGATTCTTTTTGCTCCTGTGCAGTTTGATACCAGAGCCGACCTGTTGAACATTGGCTCCTTGCACAGAGAACCAGAGGTCCAGAACATGTGGCCCAGGGCCAAGTGCTGGTCTCCGTAAAGGGCTTTATGGGCTTACTTAGACACAATTTGCAAAAAATCAGGAGATTTTACTTAATCTGATTTTTGAGGGGCTTCTCTTGGGGAAAAAAAATCAAAAGATTGGGGCCTGCCTTCCCATGGCACCGAGGAGCTAGAACTGAGTAGTGGTTCGCAGTGGGCCGTGCTCCTCTCCCCGTGTAGCCAGCTTGCTCATTATGTCGCCTGCCTGGTCCCTGTAGGTCAGTAGACCTGTGCTAGGTGAGGTTTCCTGACTGCTGCCTGAGTTGCCCCCCCGCCCGGGTGCCCTCCGCCCTGCTGTGCGCAGTATCTGGGTCACCCTTGCTGTTTCCTGGGGAGTGTCTTGGACCATGCTCGCTCTCCCTTCCCTTAGTGGTTACAAAGTCTTGTTGGTTACATTCTGTAATGTCTGTGTCCCTTTCTTGGCCACCGTGCGTGTGTGTGTCAGGGCTATTAACACCTCTCAAGTTGTGTTAAGAGCAAGTCTGCCACCTCCCTGCTCGGCCGTCATCTTCTGTCCTGTCCATGTCGTGTACTCTTTTTGTTTTGTTTTTACTTATTTTTTAGTTGTAGTTGGACACATTACCTTTATTTATTTATTTTTATGTGGTGCTGAGGATGGAACCCAGGGCCTCTCACATGCAAGGCGGGCGCTCTACCGCTGAGCCACCACCCCAGCCCCCCCCAGTCATATACTCCTTTTGTCACTGGCTCCTACATTCAAAACACCTTTGGCCCCTTAACACCAAGTTCAAATGCCTGAACCCAGTGCTGCGTGTTCTCCACAGTGAGCCCCAGTGTAGATATGTTGCCTGCTCTGCGTGCCCTGCTGTCCCCGTGTGTCTCGGCTGACTTCCTCCGCTTCGCTCATGCTGTGCCCTTCCTGTCGTTAATGAACTCTTCAGAGGCCCTGCCGCAGTGCCCCCTCCTAATGAAGCCTCCCTGATAGCTCCCATCCCCTCCAAATGAACTGCTGCCGCTTCTGTTCCTCATGTCCCCAGAGCACTCATTACTCTCTGACTTGTCTGTCCCCCGTTAGATTCCCGGAGGGAACCGAACAATTCACCTGTTTCTGGCCAGCACTGTAGGTATTCAGTGTGCGAGGTAAATGCTAAAGAGAAGTATAGGGGTCCCATTATCTGAGGCTAATTGGTTTCAGGGACAGGCCATTTGCTATGACTCCACTAAAATGGGACCAAAGTTTTATAGAAAATAAAACTTGGGACAAGGGTGGCGGGGAGTGAGATTTTTATCATCTAGAACATTCTAGAACMCAAAAGTAAGTTTCTTATTTTCAACTCTGTGCTGGTTCTTAAAATGAGCAGATTGAAATGCCAAAAGCGCTTGAGTTTTCTAACATTTTATGGTAACTTGTTATAGTCTCCATTTCACATGCAGCTCAACTGCATGGTCAGAGCAAGCTTTGCAAATTTGGAGGGGCTCCCCGGTTTCTCCAAGGGCCTTCAAGCCCTTCACTAGACGGCTCTTTCCTGCCCCCCATCCTCCTCATCAGCGGCCAGCTGCCCCGCCTGTGTTGGCTTTGCAGGTGATCTCGCTTGGTTCTCCATCATTGCATTCACTTGCTGGAGCGCATAGACCTCCTGCCTCTTGCCAGGCTTCTCCCTTGGCTTGTGGGCAGCCCACTTGAAGGCAGTTGCCAAGGTGGATCCAGGAAGAGAGTAATGTGCAGGAGGGTAGGTGCAGCAGGGTCTGGTGAGGCCTGAGTCTCTCCAAGCTCGCTGGGCCCTCAAGGAATATCTTTGTGTTATGAAGTTGTGTAGGAGATGCATAGTAACCACGTGGACAGACTTAACTAAGAATTGCCCGTCCTTAAGTTGGAGGTTTTCAGTGGCCGCCTTCTTGCTTTGGCTTGAGGGCAGAGCTCTCGAAGCAGCTTCCGAGCTAATGAGAGCCTCCTTCCTCACCAGCCCTGGTGCCATCCAGGCTCGGCCGAGGCTGAGACCTTACTCCCACCCAGACCTTGGGGTCGGTGTGCCTCAGAGCCCAGGGAGCAGATGCCCTTCCCACTGGCCCAGGAGTCCTGTTATTAGTGGCAGTACTTGGAAAAGGACAGCTTGTGCTGGGAGCTGGCTGCTAGCCACTGGCATTGTCTTTCCACCAGCCAGAAGCTGCTATGGACGACCCTCCCTGTCCATCCCTGTCCGTGGGGTGCTTTGCTAAGTAAGCGGCCCCCCCCGAGGCTTTTCTGCTCTCCTTGCTGCTTGTGTAGGAGGAAGCCGAGCTGATGTCCTCGGGCACAGCGGAGCAGGAAGCACCCGCAGCTCCAGGAGCCCTGAGCCCTGTTTGTGGCTCTCGTCTAGTTTAGTTGCCATCACCCTGGAACGGGGAYCAGCAGGTCCAGTCTCTGAAGGTTTCAAGAGAAGCCAGAAATGCATATTTTTATGTGAAATCTCCAGACATTTCAAGGTGAAAGCTGTTTTAGAAAGTTTCAATCTTCACCACTGGTTTAGAGATCTGGAAAGTCGAAGCCTGAGAGAACATCTTTGGGTTCCTTGCCCCTGATCCCCATTTTTCAGAGGCAGGGCCCCCAGTGTGGTCAGCAACAAGGCCAGAACCCTGTCTGTAAATTGCTAGTCGGGCCGCTTGCCTATTTTCACATTCTACCTTTCCAGATTTTTCTTTCTGCCAAGGCTGCCATGGGTCCTTCTCTCCTTGATTCAGCTTGCTGGGAATGCCCGCCCCTGCCTCACACCCACCCTGCTGCACKGGGCTCCTGCCCAGCAGGCTCATTTCACTCCAGGCACCCTGTCCGCCACCTCTTTCTTAGCGTCTTCAGCCCGTGTCATCAGTGTTGTTTCAGTCGTCATTCACGCCAGGTCATAGATATTGGCGAACACCTGATGTKCGCACCGAGGGAGAATGCTCGGCAGGGCCTGGTGTGGAAGGTGGCCTTACAGCTGGAGCACTCCTCCCTCCTGTGAGAGCCCCGGGAACACTGTTGCTCCTCTGTCCTTGGCCTCTTAACTCTCCTATGCCAGGTGCCCAGGATCTCGGCCGATGCTGGGCTTGGGCCGTGAGGGTATAAAGGAGTTTCTTGGTATTTATTTAAAAAACCATCAGACTTTGAAAACTATCRCCAGGGAAGATCTATTTCTGCTCTCAGAAACTTTTGTCATCATTCCCAAATCCTGTTCCCCATTTGCTCCTGCRAAATTCCAAGTCTCCTTGCTGGGAGTGGTGGCACGTGCCTGAAATACCAGCCACTYGGGAGGCTGAGGCAGGAGGATGACAAATTCCAGGCCAGCCCGGGCGACTCAGCAAGACCCCGTCTCAAAAAATCAAATGGGCTGGTGATAGAGCTTAGTAGGAGTGCACCCCAGAGTTCAGTCCCCAGTACGGAAGAAAGTTCCCAGCTGCCAAGCAGGGATGTAGGGGCACTATTTAAAGATGCTGCCCCGTGGTCCCTCAAGGGCCTGGTGCCATAAGCAGTTTACTGTAGATCCTGTAGCCTTGGTGAGGGAGGGACTGCTGCAGCCCAGGAACTGGGGGGCCTTTGAATAACCACTGTCGTCCCTCTCAACCTAGAGCGAACTGAGAAACTGCCCATGGGCTCCATTAAAAATGTGGTCAGTGAACCTATTGAAGGACACGAGGACTACCACATGATGGTAAGTGGCCTGACCTGGCCCCCAGCTAGGTGCCTGTTCTGCCTTCTCTAGCAGGGGGTGGATTTCAACTGAGCTTTGCTATTGAAGAAAAAACATTGTCTTCTAGGGACTGTGTTAAGACTCTTGTGTTTTCTTGTCTACTTAGAACTTGACCCATGACCCTCTTCTCAGTTCTGTTTATTTTGCAGCTGCCCCCCCTACCCCCCCACCCCCATGCCGCAGCTGGAGGGGCGGTTTCTCCTGTGCTGTTAGACTTCTCCTGTGCCTCCCTCTCAYTTGTCATATTTTGTTTTTAGACCAGGAAAATAAATACGAAGAGGAGGAATGGGTTGTGGATTTCATTTTTAAATTTTTCTTGCTTTTARAAAAGAGAGCACCCCCTGGCCTTGGTGTTGAGGAGTCTAGGTGKTCTCCCTCGTGGTGTCGATGCAGGGCCAGGCTCTCCGCAGGGCACAGGCTGTGCTTTTCCGGGCTTGTGTCTGGAGCCATTCCCCAGGTCTGCAGAGCAAGCAGTGTAGACCAGGCTCCCTTTTCCAGCACTGTTTGAAGGGGTCCCCCCTCCTTTTTTTTTGGTAACTTTTCAGTGCTGAATATTGAACTCAGCCTCAAGTATGCTAGATCGAGGGGCCACTTTATACATGAAGTTTAACTGCCTAAACTCCGAAGTTGCTATGACAGGGACTTGACCTGAGCTAGCAGTGGTGTGAGGGCAGGACCATTTGCCCTCTTCTGTGAGGAGGGAGGTTTTTTCAGCGTCTGTGGATAGTGGTGCCACTGTGTCCACTCTGTCCCAAGGAGAAGGAGCAGTTCAGTGGTTTGACCAGCGGGTGGTGGTACGAATTCCATGGCAGAGGGATCTGTCAGAAGATCTCCTTGTTAAAGGGAGAAATCGGCTAGAGAGGCAGCCTGTCCCTGTGCCTGCCCTGTATGGTGGTGCTAGTGCAGGGCTGTGGTTGGGACCCTAGGCTGCAAGTTCCTGTCCTTCCTGAAAGTGGCCACAACATCACTGGGGCTTCTTTCAGGCCCATCCGTGGCCCTTCAYCCTGCTCCGCTGCAGTCTACACGACTGCAGACAGGTTTGATTTGCCTTCATTATTTTTCTGTTTTAATGGTGGCATTTTTGTATTTGAAGTATTTGTGTGAGCATTTTGACTCTGTAGGGTTTGCAGCCTCAGATTTCAGGCGGCCCSATGGTAGGGATTACAGACAAGTTGAGCCCACCACCCTGGACATCTCTTCAGGACTTAGTGTGCATGGTAATGAGTTGGTCCTCAGAAAAGTGTTCATTTCTCTATGGAGTCATTGCTGGCAGAGGGTGGTTCTATCACTCCTCCTTCTAAACACTGCTAAGTAGCACTTTTGTATTTACTTCCCTCTTGAAGCACATGCCATTTCTCTAGCTAGATAAATGTGTCACAGTTCACAATTAGAGAAATGTGGCTGTGCTCTTCCACTTTTGGAGATGAGTTTCTAACAGTACAGGAAAGGAAAGGGAATACCACAAGCCATCCATCCCCCCATCACTGAGAACAATTGCAAATCCTTTGTAACTTGGTTTAAATCTTTTCTTCAAATAAAAAATAAATTCTGCCAACAGCAATGATGTCCCCATTGTGTTCCCCTTCCCCCATTCCCATCATCGCACCTGTGTGTCTTTCCATCTACAGTTCTCTTATGTATATGTCGACGAACAAGATCGAGTATTTTTTTTTCCGGTTTTCATAAAGGACATCATGGTGTGTGCTGTTCTGCAACTTGGTTTTTTTCATTCGACATCATGTTCCGTCATATGAACTCTAGATGCACAAGGACCAGCTCATACCTCTGTAAAGCATGCCAGTGTTTATACGAATAGCTTACACCACTCGGGATCCCGCATCCCCTTCCTGATGGATGTGYCGTTGTTGCTGGGGTGTTAACGTCTCCGATAGCGCTGTCTCAACGTGCCCACCACTCTCCTTGTGCATGGTGTCAGGTTTTCTAGGGCAGCAGTTCTCAAACTGGTCTTGAGCAGTGTTGGATTACCTGGGAGCTTATTGGGAGTTACTCAGGCCCTGCCCCAAACCAAAACTCCCAGGGGTGCAGCCTGTGGTCTGTTCTCCGGAGCCTTCCAGATGGTTCTGATGCACATGCACGTTTGCAAGCCGCTGCCTTGGRGTTGGCCATGCTGAGCCTCACCCCCCTTTTCTTGTCCTGGTTTTTAAACATGTTAGGAGAGTGTCCCCCTGTGCACAATTGCATTTTGTTTTCTTCCCTTTTGAATGAATCCACTTCCCAGCCCTCTCCCCGTGTGTGTGGTTCTGCCTGCTTGGTCGCCCGCCTCTGAAGTTGGCTTGGTTTTCCTTTTTCCCTTCCAGGCGTTTCAGTTGGGCCCCACRGAAGCCTCTTACTACTGGGTGTACTGGGTTCCAACTCAATATGTGGATGCAATCAAAGACACTGTGCTGGGCAAATGGCAGTATTTTTGAAAGCACTTTCACCTCTGGCCCAGGAGACTGACCCAAAGTGAAGGACATTGCCGGAGAGGCCTGCAGCAGCCCTGGATTTCAGAGTTCTGGAACTTTGTTCACACACACAAATCTCGATTCAATCGGAGGTGATGTGGTGACTGAAGCCAGAGGTGATGTACTTTCACCATTAGCTTAATTTTAACTTAAAATCACCGAATCCCTTTCTTGCAGTCAGCTTCATACCATTTTTAAAGTCAGTATGGTGGAAATCAATAAATCTGAATTCCGAACGTGTTGTGTGGAATACTCTTAAGTCTGTTTGAGAGTAGATCTGCCAATTATGTTGAGAAGGAAATGATGAAAAGCTTTGAGTTTTGTTTTTGTTTTTGTCTTTTTTWAAAAAAATGATTTAAACTGAAATATTTTCATAAATCTTTGGTTGCAAACATTTGGACTGCAATGTGATGAGTTGGGGTATTTTTTTTTTTCTTTTTCCTTGGTATAAAATTGTATGCAAAATGTTGTGGGGGGTTAGTAAGCCATTTTTTTCTGTTGATTGATTGAGATTTCTTTCCTTTTTTAATTTTCTCACTTCCCTAGATTTGAGTTTTTGTTTTAAAAACCCAAAGATGTCAGTTCCTCTTTTGGTACCTCATCCACRCTTCCTTTCCTGGGCTCTCTCCCACGTGCTGCTGCTGCTTGGGAATGCACATGGGAGACGGGAGCTGCTGGGTCATGGTCAGGGAGCCCTCGCCCTTGCTGTGGTGGTGTTGAGCAGCAGAGTATCTCACAAGTGACTCCTGTCTAAATGTCTTACTCTTCGGGCCCCGACTTGTGGGGCGTTTCATTGCCTGTTCAGCGGTCGTGGGCAGCCCTCGCTGAGCGGGGCTTTGAGGCCCAGCCTGGCCTGGATGTGCCTAGGCTGGGCTCCTCCAAAGCCCCAGTTTGGAGAAGGAGCCAGGTGAAAGATAGTTGGTGCAGCCATATAGCCACAGATCCAGAGACCTTCTTTCTTTGGAAGTTTTCAAGAAATTCTTAAGCAGTCCAATGATTATTTCAATTATGCTTCTCCATTTGGTCCTTCTGCTCATGCATTAAGTTCAAGTGTCCTTTATCCCAGGTTCAGAGAATGCTGCCTTTCTCAGTAAGAAGACACCTGACCTAGCGGGTTGGCCAGTGGTGTTTGAACAGTGAAATGGGATAAATTGCTTTCATGATCAGCTCTCCTCTGGTTTCAGCCCTTATGTTCTTCGTACATGTACACTTCTGTCATCTCCTATGGCTTGATTGACTCTGAAATGAGGGACAGTCTCTTGGTGGATGACACCCTCTGTGCTGTTTGCTGTATCTCTGCTGCTGTCTCTGCAATTCTCCTCTCTCTGGTTGCAGGCTCTCATAGTAAGGTCTGGCAAGAAATCTTCCCAACTTCACACTTTGGATTCTAAGCTGTTCCCCCTCATTCTGTGAAATGTATTAGCATGTGTTTGCCTAAGATGACTATTCCTTGTGAGCCAGTTAACGACGATATTCTACGCCCTTCCCTTCTAAGCTGTAGTTCAGGAATCTCCATAGACAGACTCTTGCTTTTCGTGGTGTAGTCAGTGCCAAGTTACGCATCTGGGCAGGAAAACCTACTCTTCGCTTTTTGGGGGCATAAGGTATGGATGTGAAGTGCAGCGTCCAAGAACCTGCCTGTTTGCCATCGTTGGAAAAGGAGCAGTAACTGCAGCTCTTGTSCCTGTTGGCAGTCGCTGGGGAAAGGAGTGCACCTTTGCTGCTTGTCCCAGCCACCTCCTGTGGTTGACAGGGCTGCAGGGGAAGGGATCAGGTAGCAAGCAGAGYGTCCTCTGGGATTAAGTACTGCCCTTTGTTTGCTGATGTCCCCATCCTTGAGACTTGTCTGACAGTGCCATGTGCCCAGTTTTGGTCTTTTTGTCCCCAGAGTGGCTCTGAGACCCTTCCCACCAGCCCCCTCCTCTGCCCCCACCCTCCTCCCTCCCAGCCAGAGCGAGTGTGCCATTGTCCCCCTGCTGCCCCGGGGCCAGACTGCTTCTCACTCAGGCTGGTGTCATTTCAAGAGGACCAAAGCCTGCGTGAGCCTTTTTATTTTCAGTAAAATGGTGCTTATTTCCTTACTTTAAGATATTATATATAAATAATGACGTAAATGACACCTTTTCGTGTGGAGCTGTTGAGTTCTGCTTCACAGAGCTCCCTCAATCTGTCGTCACAGTCCTGAGCTCTGCAGGAGACCTTGCTGGAAGCCCTCGGGAGAGCAGAGGAGGRCAGCACCAAGGCCCCTGGGGGAAGCGTTAGGGACCCACCTCTGGGTCCCAGCAGTCTTCACTGTTTTGTCACTCAGTCRCATCTGCCCAAATCCATGTGAGCAAAGCCCAGTGCTCCCCCCTTTAGGTAGCCACACAGTGTTGTGTTCTCCCTCAGGATCATTTCTGTACAATTCCTTCACTGTCGGGTCTGAGGGGACCAGAGCTTTCCCTCCCTGTGGAAGGGGGCATGCAGGTGGATAAAGGAAGAGCTGACTCCAGAGAGGGCCTCTGAGGGCGTCACCTGAAGCTTGAGATGGASAGGTCCTGCCCTGGGGTCTGTCATCTCGGTGCCACCCAGGGGGCTTCTTTRCTGTCCAGAATTGGTAAAGCGTCCTCCTCCGGGTCTCCACTCGAGGACATCATGCCTTTCTTTTCCTCCCTGAGGAGACTTGGCAGAGTCAGGCAGCCTCGGAGCCCTGCTCAGCCCCCCATGCGACCCTTTCCAGTCAGCCTGGTCGGAGGACCTAGACCGTGAGTTGCTGGAGCTCTTTGGTGGGAAGTATCTTAATCCATGATGGCTCTTTAGCAAGTGGCGTTTGCTCTTTTTAAATGAAGTTTAACTGAGGATTCACTTTCTCATAATCTTGTGGACATGGTCGGGGCCAGGCKAGGCCCTCAGTAGGCTCCTTAGTTGCTGCTTTACCTGAGGAGGGCCGAAGAGGTTGACTCTGCTCCCTTGCCACGTCTCAGAAAGGTTGCCATGTTTCACCCAGAAGGGCCGTGTTTTCTTCCTCCTCTTTAACCATGTGCCTGGAGGAGCCATGCCGGGCTCTTGCCTTTGGCCCACCCTTTCTTTGCCAGGGGCCGAGAAGGAGAGGGGTTAGACCCGGAGTCCCAAGGGCAGGCTTTATCCACCCATCTGCTGAGGGACCCTCTCTCTCACTCCTTGCCTCTGTTCATGCCTGTTGTCTTGGAAGAAGATGGTCCCTGTGTCTTAAGGCTTGTGGTGAAGTCATCTGCAGTTAGGGTCGGCACCTGTTTCCTTCTTCCCCAGACCTGCAGCCTTTCTGAAGTCACAGTGGTCCGGAGCCCRTGATACGCAGAACATCTGGTAGGTTTACCTGCCGGCCGAGTGCTTGAGTGCTTCTACTGCTTTCTAAATTTCTGAGAACCTTTCTCTTCTTTGTTAAAGAGCTCTGCAGAGTTATTTGACAATATGTGTAAGTACCATGTTTCCTTGTGGCGTACGCTCTGTTCTGGTTTGTTTTGAAATCAAATGCCTGTTTGGGAGGAGATGAACGTATTTAGTCTATTAGATTTGCGCTGCTGGATTTTTTTTTTTTTTTTTTAAAGTGTAACCTTGACTAGCTGTCTTATTGTTTATCCTGTAAGATTAGTCTATCAATTAAAGTTTGATAATTAATTGCGTCTCTTTCCTTCCAATCCTTCCTGCGTCTAATCCTTACTGGGGACTGACCAACACTTGGAGCTGGGCCTGAGGCCATCTTTTGCCAGCTGTGGTCTTATTTGGCTGTAMGTAGATCCAAATTTATTCTCTGCTGAAACAGTTGAGAATAAAGAGATGCTGGTTTTATTTACTCTAGTGGTCCAAGTGACCAGCTTGCGGGTCAGCCACCCTCTGCTAAGGTGGCTACCTTTGTCTGCTCTGACCTCCACGTGGCAGAGGTGCCCCCTGCCCTTACCCCCCTGACTGGGTGCCTTTTGCAACCTCACCAGCCACTTAGCCTTTGAGGACACATTCAGTTAAACWCTTGAACAGAGCTCCAGCTCTGGCCACGTGCTACCAAGACCCAGGAAGAGGGAGGGGGGAGGATATTATTACCAAAAAAATGGGACAAGAACAGAATCCTTGGTCTAAGAAGTGAGAACTGGTCTCTCAGAACTGGTTTGGACCCTCTACCACCCCCGGACAGTAGATAGTGTCTCTTCTTCCCSGTGATCTAAGGGTTCTGGAAGATTTGGTCTCATTTCCCTGTTCTGGCAAGGGGAGGGCGTCTGTTCTTTTTCCATTTTCGTCTTGCCTCCTAATCCTGATGGAACACTGCTGGATTCCTGTGGCCCTGGCCGTGATGCGGARAGGACAAGGTGGGTTGTCCACCTGCTGTACGTTGGCTGGTACCCACCTGGAGAGAATCTTGTGTCTCTGCAGAGGGTACTTCTGGATTTTATACCAATTCCAAACAATTATTTCAGGCACCTTAAGACTAACAGGAATGATTGGTTCTTCTCCAGTGGAGAATGAGGTCAACCCCAGTGTGAATATTTTTACTCTACTGTTGGGAAATGTCTGGCATTTTCTCAGCTTTGGGTAATTTAACAGAATCCTTCCTACACCAGGGACCCAGCCACCAGACAGGTATCGGGGCAGGAGACAATGCTTTTCCTCCTCTTGCCGGAGAGCTCTGACAAGACAGATGTGCAGTGGGAATGAGGTACTCTCTCCCCCAGCCTCCGCCCACACACTTGGCTGCTGGCAGCTGGAACTCTGTCTCTCTGGCTTTGCCTAGTTGGAAAGCTGGTACAGAACRGTTAACATCCCTACACCATTCACATAGGTTTGCCAGTTATTAAAATATTAGCCACCTCTGCTTTCTGGTCTAGACATACCAATTTTTTTGCTGAAGCACTTGACAGGCGTGCTGACGTTGTGACACTTCTAAGAGTGTCAACATGCATCTCCTAAGAAGGGTGTTTTAAACCTAAGAAAATCACCTAAGAAAATTCCTATCAATTCAGTGATACCGTCCCATAGGCCAGCATAGCTTTCAGAAGAATTTCAGTTAATKATCCAGTTTAAAATCTCTATCTAGCCTTGTGTTGTTTAATTACCATTTTAACTTTTCTACTGTTACTAGTCTTGGCTTTTTTTTCTCACCTTGAAGTAATTCCCTTCTCTGTGTGTGTCGCCCCACCCGCTGCACRGGGGCTAGAACCCGGGGGCCTCATGCATGCTAAGCAGGTGCTCTACCCCCAACCCTAAGCCATGTCCCCCAGCCCTCCAC